GAGGAGTGGCAGCTGTAATTCGAATCTCGACAGGTGAGGACGTGAACAATTCATCTGACAATCGACGTTTGTGGACCACAGTTTGGGGAACTTGCAGCGTTGCCTTTCCTGAATCTATGTGGGTCTGAATCTCCTGCTCTATGAGACTCTCCTGACCCCCCTTCTCCTCAGTAACTACCACTTCCTGGGTGACACCTGCCTTTTTGGATGCTTTCTTATCTGAAATGTCAAGAGTACCACTGCAGATTGATTTACCATGCTTGTTGGTTATGATACACTCATAAGTCCCCTCATGATCTGTCGTTGGATAGAATACAGTGAGCTTAGAGTTGTTTGATTTGATAATGATGTCATAATCTGGGTTGTGGTCCACTGACTGTCCATCTTTGAGCCAGCTAACAACGGGTGGAGGATCACCCTGAAACTGGCAAGTGAACTCTGTCATCTCACCAGTTTTAACTTTAAGTGAAGATATTTCTTTTAAAAATACAGCAGGTGAGCCTGAAGAATCTATATCCCTTTGTTTTACCCTCTGCGACGCTGGAGGTTTAATCTCCTTCTTTATAGCAGCTTGTGCAGAACTTCCCACTCCAGTTTCTCTAAGTCTAACTGAATCTTCACTTTCTTCATCTTTCTCTGAAACTGCTAAACCTTTCTGTTGTTGCCATCCACTACTCTCTCCAGTGGTTTCTACCTCCTCTTTTATCCCTCGCTTATCTCTTACATCTGTCTGGAAACGCTGGTGGCTGGATTTATCAGCGGTCATACCATACTCCTCCCTGGTCCTCATTCTCTCTGATGCTCCACCCACATCACCTGACGGAAGAGTTTTTTCGTTAGCAAAAGCCAAAGCCATCTTAAGAGGTGAAGTAGTGCCTTGGAGAGGAATCTGGGCTTCAGAAGACTGTTTACTTTGTGCAGCTTGTCGTTCAGCTGAAAGTTTTGCATTTGGTGATAAAACATGGAGTTCACGGTCCATCTGAGGAAGACGGGGCTCTAACACAGGTCCAGGCTGTTTGCACTGACTGTCTAAAGCCCATTCTGACTCCAGCTCAGACACTTCCTCTTGCTCAACGACATCTTGTTGCCATTTCAAGATACGCTTAGCCATTGCTTCTTCCTCGCTTACAAAGTACTCACTGTCCGTTTGTAGTCTGGTCTCGCGTCCCTCTGTCGGCACTTCTTCAGCTAGCGGCCACTGAGGAATATCTGATTTCTGATCTTGGAAACCGGCTGGAGCAGAGGTGGTTGGCAACTGCTCCTGAGCTGTTTGACCAGGAGAAATCCTCATGTTGTGGCCCAAAGTGGGCTGCTGAAATGTTGGCACAGCAGAGGTTTCTGGGAAGATTCTTCCAACCTCAGGAGTCCCCTCACCCTGGAATGGAGGATAGCGCTCTGCCCAGTCAGACTCTAGCTCCACTGGTTGCTGTTGCTCCATCAGAACATCTTGTTGCCATCTCATAATTCTCTGCGTGAGGGCCTCCTCTTCGCTGACAAACTTCTCACTCTCCAGTTCTGAGATGTTCTCTCGTGAAAGCTGGAGCTCTCGTTCTTCTTTTGTCTTCTCAAACAACTTCTTCTCTGTTCTGCTTTTTGTTCGAGGTGACTGAACATCCTCCTCTTTTGCTTTACCTTTTATTCTTGGTGATTTTTGTGGCAGGACTGGAACCTCTTTTTCATGTTCTTTTATTAGGGTTTTAATTCTGGCTTTAGGAGAGGGTGCAGATGTTACTTCACATTCTGCTTTACCTGCCACTATTGCATGTTTTGGGTTTGGATTTTGTAAATTAACTACTGCTCCTTTCTCCATTTCCTTCTGTGAAGAAATGACCTCCTCAGACATGTACTGATTATCTGCTGGTAGAGGCAAATCAGTTCCAGGGTGAAAGGTCTCTTCCTCTGGCATTCTGTCACCTTGCTGCCACTTCCTGGTCCGCAGAGCCAGAAGTTTCTCCTCGCACTCCATTCTTTCAGTCTCCAGACTTTTCTCATACTGATCTCTCAGAGACTCCTCTGGTTTATCTGCTGGTTTAACTGGATCAAAAGAAGCAGATTTCTCTACTTCCAATCCTCTGACTTCTTTTTTAGGTGTTTTTGGTGGTGCCACTTCAAGTTCTAAAGGCCTTACCATGAACATGGGAGATTTGTGTGGAAGGGAGATTTGTGAGGTGGTTGTGGCTTCAGTTACCTCAGTTGATATTTTCTCAACCACCTCCTGCTTAGGGTAAGGGTGCCCTGTAGGTTCCATGTATTGCATTTCAGCTGGCAAAGGAACATCAGTTTCCTCATGAAATGTTTCTTGCTCTGACATCAAACTTCCTTGCTGCCACTTCCTGATCCGCAAAGCAAGAAGCTTGTCCTCACACTCTTTTCTGTCTGCCTCCAGGCTCTTCCCATACTGAGCCCTTAAGGATTCTTCCTCATAGGACTCATCTCCTTCAGATGGTACTGGGGCTTCAGATATTACCTCTTCACTAAAAACAGATGCTTCTTCTTGAACGGAAGTCCTGGTTTCTTCAATTTTGTGGAGCAGCTCAAACTCTGCTTTTGCAGTCTCCACCTTGTACTCTCCACTTTCATCTGCCTGAGACTCACTGGCTTTTTTATCCTCCAGTGTCTCTGTGAATTTGTCACCAGACTTTCTATCTCTCTGATGTGTTGTGTCAACTAGCTCACCTTTCATGATCTGAATGGCTCTTGTTCTGGATTGAGGCTCAAACAAATGTCTCTTCTGAGGGTGAGAAGGTTTCCTGGTTAACTTTTTCTCACCCTGATCCAATGTTCTGTGCTGGACATCAGGCAGAGAGGTGGGCTTGACCCTCAACTTCTCCACATACTCTGCATAGCTCGACTCACTGGCGACTGACTCAACCTCAAACTCAGAGGAGGACATAGTGGAAATAGAAAGCCTTTTCTTTTGTTTCACTGCTTTCTGCAGGGTTGTAAGCTTTGCTCTGACCTCGTTGTGGAGGCTTTCTGTGTCACTGAACCTGTCACTGTACCTGTCGCTGCACCTGTCGCTGAACTTGTCACTGAATCTTGCCCCAGTGCGCCGGTCACAGTAGATATCACTGAACCTGTCATTAAAACGCTCAGACCTGTCAAACATGGGGGGAGGAGACGGGGCCCGCTCAGAGGCAGTCTCTAAACGTTTGGATTCCTTCTCTGATGGTTTGTCTAAAGAACCCGTACTGGATCTGAAGTACACAGTTCTCACTAAAGCACTTTTGGATCGGGATCTACCCTGGTGGATTTTGGACATTTTGTCAAATGGAGATCCTACACACCTGAGATCAACTCTAAATTTCCTCTCCTTTCTCAGCTCTGCCAAGTTGTCTACACTCTCATGGGCCTGGGCAGAGCGCCGAACAAAGCCAAGGTAGTTAGCAGACTGTTCTTCCCTTAGCGAAACCAAAAGTGATGCTGTGGACTCAGCAGAACCTTCTGAGTTTAATGCCATCACCTTGTAACTGCCGGAGTCTTTCTCCCTGATACTGTCAATGAAAAGACGCGTAGTGTGCATGTGCATCCTGCTTTCGGTACAGATCCTACGTCTGCGTTCCTTAGGGATAGATCTATTATTATGAAACCAAAGAATAGTTGGCACAGGACAAGCGATCAGTTTACACTTTAACTCAACTGGTTCTCCTTCCAGAACTGACTGAAATTTGAGTTTCTTTGTGAAGGATGGCTTAATGTTGTCTGTCCAGGAGCTGATTGACGAAGTTCTGCTTGAGCAGCGGTTAGCTGATACCAAGCCATGATCGAGGAATTCCTCTGTGTCAGAGAAAGCTCCGCGGAGATGTCGGGTGCCGCTGAGCTCAGTGATGCCGTGTGCTTCTGCAAACAGAAACAGACGACAGTCAGAACGACACAAGATCTGGAGGTAAAGGGACGGAAAAGATTATCTTTACTGGAAATATTAAAATGCATGCTGGGAGTCACAATGCCATAAAAAATAATTTCACTCACCATATTTGTTCGAATAAACGCAAGACTTGATTCTTTTTAATAGAAACCTGCAGGAAGTTTTGATCCTTCGTCTGTGGAAATTTCTTCAAAACAAATTATTTTATTATTGTTGAAACATGACGGCCAACATCCGCTTGTTTTCTCTCTGATGGTTGCGTTTTTACTTGAATATTCCTTACCTGACTTGCAGACAGGAGAATAAACGCCCTTTCTAATCCTTAACAGAAAATGAATGAAGCACAAGCTCTCCAATACATATTTTTGATTTCAGAACTTTGAGCCGTAAAATTGGGCGAGAAGGCGTTTATTCGAACTAATATAGTTTGACTGGTGTTATTTTGGAAGCAAACCACAGGAATCACATCCCATTATCTGCAAGCCAGGCTAGGACATATTCTGCAGGAAGAAGGTATCAGTCCCAAATGCAGAAGACCTCTTTCTTTTTTAAAGGGCCTTTCAAGTATTTCAAAGAGTTTTAAAAGATACACATCCTGCACCTTTTTCTTGGAAATACCAGAGGAACCTTCATGCCAAAATGACTTTCTGGATGCAACATCTTTAGAAACTGGAACAAGCAAGTTCTATCAGTGCTTTCCTGAAGGAAACCATGGGATACCATCAAAATAAAAGAGCAGATGATACAAACAAGTATTTTTTCATCAAAACACATATAAATGACATGCAACTGCAGAAAAAAAAGATTGTTTTAAAGGGACAGTTCAACATTCGACTTGTTTCCAAGGTTTAAGCGCAATCTGCTGCTGCAGGACAACTCTGACCCAACCAACCCATACAGCATGCATTTGTACATCTGTTTCTCTCATCAGGACTTTCATGGTGTCTCCACAAGAAGAACATCTCAGAACCATACCTTATGTCAGAGTTGACTGCTGGCAGACTACGTTTACAGTGAAAAGTCAGAAGATGTAACTGGAAACTAGGTGAAACTATTCCTGTTTCACTGAATCATCTTCTCAGGTGTGATTGTAGTAAGTGTGTGTGATAAGGCAAGAAAGGCAAGGTCTTACCTTTAACTTCTTCTTCTACTGTGGCTTCGATCTGCTCCCTCACAAGAGTCACTGTGGAAGACAGAGACACCAGTTTATCGTTTATCCGTTTGCTTCTACATGGCTTTGTCACATTTCTCACATTTAGGTTAAGATTGATGGAATTTATCCCCGATCTGGGATAAAACCAAAATACTAAAACCCTTTTTTTTTATTATTATAACTTAGACTTCCTTTATTGTCATTGTACAAAAAGAAAACACAAGGTGAATCTTGACAACAAAATGTCGTTACTTGGCTACCAGTGTAACAGAGCTAAAACCTTATACTACACAATAAATACATAATAGCTAAATAAATATATAAGAGCTAAGAATAAAGTGCCATAGAATCCACAAGTTCAGTGTTGTAAACAAAATTAATCTAACTAGCCCACTTGTCAAACTTGCAAAAGCGTAAAACTTTTACCAAGTATTTCTGTCAAGTTTCAAGTGCAAATATCTTAGTACACTTCAAATATGTCAAAATTAACTTACAAGTAACTTTTCAGCAAGGTACAGGAGCTTATTTTAAGACAATAATTCTTGAACATTAATTTTAAAAAGTACTAGTTCCATTGGCAAATTCTTTCACTTATAATAAGGCATTGTGAAATAATTTGCCATTGGAACTAGTATAAGTTGTTGATACTAAAGAGTTATTTACATGATCAGATACTTGGATTAGAAAATAGCCAAAAATATTTACTAAAATTTTGTTTTTGAAGTGTGCTCAAATTCTTAAAAAGTCACCATTTTCTCTTCTTCTAGAATAATAAACCATGAGGACCAAATATTTATTTGCTGCCTAGTATCCAGTACAATTACAATAGTCTGGGTAGTTTAAAAATGGAGCAGTGACAACACAATTTATTCCACAAAAATTGCAAAATGTTGTGGTTCAAATATCAGTTCCTAAAAAAACAAAATGAACTTTTCCAAAATCCATCTAAAGCAGCAAAAATCTCTGCTCACTTAAACAAGCAATGAAGAAGCACAAACTGGTGTCCAGCAAGGAGGAATGCAAGAAAGGAAGGTTTTTCAAAGATCATCAGATTGACAGAAAAAAGAGAAATGAAGATCCCTTCCTTCAGGAGTGATAGTGAGGATAAATGTGTGAGTTTTACTGTGGAGAGACAAAGGAGGAGCATGAGTGAAGGCATTGTTCCTGAGATGAAAAGTGAGGAAGGAGGAAGTGAAAACTCCAGGATTCAAACAAACACGTGAATTTGTGAAAGAAGAGGTTCAACTTTGTGATGTTAGTCAGAGATGAAGAACGACTGAAGGATGTCCCGATTATCACATTTTAGAGCTGCACTAATCAGTCTGACAAAGATCAAATCAAAATTTTCTCTTAATTGGCTCTGATTGGATGGCCAGATAATTCTACCAGTTCTCCCAATTAAATATATAGAAACTAAGAATTCCCACCATTTTGGAAACCTGTCCATCCATGTAAGTTTAAAGGGGACCTATTATGCAAAATTAACATTTAACCCCTTCTTGTGCTTCCATTTGTGTCTCAATTGCTTCTAAAAGCAGACCAAGTGATTAAAAAAATGTAAATAAAATTTAAAAAAATCACCCAATAAGTTAATGTTTTTTGGTGTCTGGAAAATGATCCGTTTCAAAATCAGCTGGCACTGCCTGTTACCTAGTAAACCCTGGGGAGCTCCACCTGTTATCTAGCAATCCAAGCTGACTCGTCACATTCTTGTTGGTTGTGCAGGAGGCTCTACTAATGCTTTTCAAAGATGTGTGGTTGTATGATTGCACATCTGTTTGCAGCCATGTTAACATGTGAGTGCAAAAACTGAGATGGAAGCAGCAGCTTACTTGGATTTAAAGTGACAAGACGTCCTAAAACCTCTCCTTCTGAAAAGAGTTGAAAATAGTCAAAACTGACCCGGCTAAAATCCCATTTTCTAAGAATGATTTTGTGCAATAAAATATAATAAACATGTGTTGTGTAGCCCAAAGACCTGTCCTAACCTGTTTAAGGTTGCATAATAGGTCACCTTTAATAAAAAAAGATTTTTACTTACTATTGACCCTGTTTTCAGAATTTCAGGGAATTTGCATTGTAATATAAAAAATAATGGAAAACCTATAACTAATCTAGTCCATCTTGGAAGCTTTCATCTGGTCCAGGACATCCTCTCAGACTTTCATTTTTAGAAAGAGTGACTCAATCTTGAAAAAAGAAATACGTGACGATTTAGGGGGGAGTCTGGCTACAAACCAACACATCCAGGTGTTACCTTCTTCCTCTCTGATAACGGTGAGGCTGGCCGAGCATGCAGCTTCCCCGGCGTTATTCACCGCCTTGCAGGTGTACTGCCCTGCATGTTCAGAGAAGGCGTCCACTATGATGAGTGTGGCGATGTTTGTCACCTCATCGAAGTGGAACACCACATTCTTGGAAGGTTGGGCAGGCTGCCGGTTGTGGAACCAGCTGATTTCCGGCTTTGGCAGGCCGGATACACACGCATGAAAACGGGCCACGTCCCCGTGTGTCACTGTGCAGCTTGTGATTGGTTGGATGAAAATTGGCTTTTGGCCAATTGACGGTTTCTTTAGGCTGGAGATGTGCCACTGAGGCTCGGTAGAACTGCTCACTGTTTGAATTTGCCCTGAAATGAAGCAGGTTCAGGGGTCGTTCTTTACTTTGTGAAAATTCCATCCCACTGATTGCTTTGCATCAAACCAAAGAAATTAAAGTCTTTTTAAAAACAAACATTGACTCCAGATCAGAATCCAAATCAGGATAAAAACAAAAGAAGCTCTTTTAAACTGAACTCAATACAACCTCAGATTTATAACTTCTGACATTTTACACAGAAAACAATACAAAACCCAAAAAAAGTTTTGTCATAGTTATAAATCAAGCATTTGTAGCTTTCATCATTGTTTTGATGAAAACCTCACCGTCCAGTGTGAGAGTGGCAGAGCAGGACACTTTCCCGGCGTTGTTTGTGGCCACACAAGTGTATTCCCCCTCATCCTCTGGGTAAACTCTGGAGATTTCCAGCTGACAGCTGTCGTCGAACTGAGACATCCTGAAGAAGTCTGACTGCTTGATTTCCTTCTCCTTGTGGAACCAGCTGATCTTCACATCTAAATCAGGAAAGTTTGTTTAGCTACAAACTAAATATATAGTTTAGCAAGCTAAATATTTAGCTTGGAGCTAATATGCAAAATCACTTGCAGATAACCGAAAGCTAACTATCAAAGTAAACCTTGTGAACATTTAAAGAAACCCCGGGTGAGACTGATTGACTTCAGTTTTTGCTCATGTTACGTCTTCATCATTGTTTCTTTTCCACTCAACATGCAACTTTTCACCTTAAAACAGAATGAGATATTTTATGTTTTAAGTTGAAATATGACACTTCAACAAAAGATATTATGTCTTCCAAACAAAATACATTGGATTTAGCTAAATATTTAATTTGATAATTCTTAGAACGGAGCTAACTAAATATTTTGAACTGGAGCTAGATATTTAGCTTGCTTATTAAATATTTTGTCTGAAACTTAGATTTAATAAATTAATTAATAACATGGTTAATATATGACTTATGAAAAATAACCCCCCATTTTTTCTGTTATAGCAGTCTAATAACCCAAATTATTGATGTTAAATTTTGAAAGGACTTCTTACCGTCTCCACGGACTCTGCACTGGAAGTGAGCGGATTCTCCCTCTCTGGCTGAGGTGTTGGAGATGGGTGAGATGATGACTGGCGGAGTGATGGGGGCAGCAGAGTCTGGAGAGACCACTTCTGACACTACAGCACACAAACCTCCATGAGACTCCATTTGCCATGTCTCCATTCTGCTCTCCATTCTGCTCTTCAAGCAGGACATTCGGTCTTACCTTCCACATTGAGTGTGGCGGTGCTGGTGGCCGTGCCGTAGTCGTTCTTTGCCTCGCAGTTGTAGACGGCGGCGTCCTCGGGGAATACTTCGATCAGAAGCAGCGTGTGCTCATTGCCGTCGTGAAGGAACTTGCACTTGAAGCCCGGCGACAGAGCCTGGGAGTTTTTGTACCAGGAGACCTGCGGTGGAGGAACGCCGCTCACCTGAACGGAGAAGCGAGCCGGCTTTCCTGCCTCGACTGACTGGGGCTCCATGTGACGGAGGATCTGAGGAGGCTCTGGGACTGGAAAGTAAAATGTTAGATTAGGGTTACTATTGTTTAGGGTTTTTCATTACAGTTTTCTTTTATTTAGTTGTGATTCTCTGTTATAATTCAGTTAGTTTTGATTGGTTTTAAAGTGTGTTTGCTAGTTTTATTAGTTAGATATTTAGTTTTTATTAGTTTATGGTAGAAGTATTAGGTTTGTCATATTTTGGTTAACTTTTAGATGCAAAATGAACAAAAATGCAATACTGTATCACCCAACTGATGCTGAATGCGGAACAGAGGACATTTTCAAAAATATATTCAATTACTATTGAACAACCAACTGACCCTGACATTTTCTCACAACTTTCGCTGTCGCATTGTGCTGCAAGAAGGAGTGTGGAGCACTGCAATTTCCCACAGCTGAAGAAAACTGATTGTGTGGGGATAAAAAATCTATTTCGCATTGGTTCGAAAAACAAATAAATAGCACAAAAACGAAGAATATTATATCTATAAATTAAATATGTTTTGGTTAGTTTTATAATCATGCGATATAATTAGAGTTGGCTATAGTTTTTATGTTTTTTTTATTTCAGTTAACAAAAATGTTTTCTTCATTTCAATTTTTGTTATGTTGTTAGTTTTATTTAACTATAATATGTTCGGTTTAGACAACAAAGACAAATTTGGAGCAGATTTTGCAGGAACATCTTTCCATATATCCAAGATACATCTACCTCAGTGTTGAACCTTTTTCTTGACTTACTGTTAACCCTTAGGTGCATGGTGCTCCTGTTCTTTCCGGCGATGAAAGTATATTCTCCAGCATCACTTCTGTAGGTCTCAGAGATGGTGAGGCGGTGCAGCTTCCTAATGGCAACATAGCTGAACCTTTCCTCCACAGAGAACTGGATCTCCACACCGTTCCTGAGCCAACGTCCTTCAATGTCGTCCTCGTTCACCTCAAACTCGAAGGTTGCTCTGTGTTTCTCAAGAACCTGAAGGAGGCACAGAAAGGATTAGATTACTCCAGAAATATTGTTGTTTCTGGTCTAAAGCTATAAAGTTGTCTTACTGCAATGGTGGAGAAGTAAAAGTACAAATAAACAGACAAAAATCCACACTAGTAAAAGTATTACACTGATATTTTTACTTGGGTAAAAATATTCCCTGGATTGAAAGTAAAAGTACTTATTGAATGCATTCCCCATATTATCACTAAGTGTGCCTATTGTATGTTTATTCTATTTAATGTATGAACGTTGCTGTGCCATTTTAATGAACAGAGTTTATTAAAATGAGAATTTTTATTGTGTTTACTTTCAGCGGTAGTTGTGATTCTGTGCATCAGAATTTCAGGGATGACCTGTACTGCAGAGTTAAATGCTAAATAAGAGAGGAATGATTACACCTGTGAAAGTTTTTAATTAACACAAAGCAAAACCAATGTATTATTTTAAATGCAGTAAACACATTCAAGTCAAAGTTGTCTGCCTAAAAAAAAGGCATTAGACACCTAATAAAGGAATTGGCTCTGATCATTTCCACTGATATTTTAACTCTAGTTTGTCATCAACTCAGAAGTTAAAATATATTGTATACATATAATGTATATTTAACCTTGCAATAGTTGAATAATGAACAAAATTTTACAAAAACTTGTACTTGTCGTTAACTTGATTGAGTCATTGATTACTTTCAAACTAATAAACAAATAAAGCAAATGCAGTGTGATGTGAATGTAATGTATAAAACAACACATTACTGCAATGTAGAAGAATGGACAACATAGATACTTAATGTAAAATTAAGTAGAGGAAAAGTTGAAAGTACAAACCATGATTAAATCTACTTGAATACAGTAAAAAAGTATTCAAGTAGAAAAAAGTACTTGTACTTCACTACATCCTACCATGATTTCGCGCTCTGCAGGTTCAGCGATCCGGACGTCACGTCCCTCTACGATTAGTTGGGCCTTGGAGACGCTGGATCCAGCCACGACTGAATACTCTCCAGCATCTGACATACGAACCGTCTGGATCATCAGACGATGGACAAACTTCTCGGCTGTCACAACATACCTATGAACAAAGCAAGTAAATTGATTTCCAGCTAATTTTGTAACTTGGAACTCTTTTGTTTGAGATGAATTCAGAGGTTTCATCTAGGGCTGAACAATAAATCAATATCAATAGTCAATACGTCTTATAGAGCGTTCAATATATAGAATATTCACTGAACCACACAGAACCTAACTGACACTCTCTTTGATTACCTAGCAACAACCTGCTTAATAACTTGTTTTACAGCAGTTTAAGATTTTGTTACCATTCCTCACAACTTCTTAAAAAAAAAACAACAACAGTGTGGAGTGAAAACTGTGATAAAACAGAAAATGTCACAGTATTTCAGACATTTAAGACAAAAATAATCGATATCGGCTGATATGAAACAGTTAATGCGTTTTTCAGCTGTGTTGTCCAGCCTTAGCTTCATCATAGACAGACCTTTCCTCAGTTAAGTCCAACTCCTGGCCGTCCTTCATCCACATCACCTGGATGTTAGGCTCAGAAACTTCACACTCAAACATCGCCTTTTTCTTCTCGGTTATCTTTATGTCTTTAATCTTCTTGGTGAACTCAATCACACGAGCTGAGAATAAGAAATGCCGATTTGAGGAACATCCCAAACTGAGAAAAAAAACAGTCCAATGAATGCTTTGTTACCTTCAACAAAGAGGTTAGCGGCACTAGCAGCAGAGCCTGCTACAAACTGGTATTCTCCTCCGTCACCGAAGTGAACATTTCGGATAGTGAGTGAATGTGTGAACTGCCGGCTGCGGACTTGACATCTTTCTGATGATTTGACCTCTACACCATTCTTCAGCCATTTGTAGGTAATGCCCTCATAGTTTACAGTGACTTCAAAGGTAATCGTGTCTCTCTCCTGAGCGTTCAAGTCATTTAGCATGGAGGTGATCAGGACAGCTGGATGGATAAAAACATACATTTTAAGATTGTACCAAAATGTTGAGGTGAAAAAACTCTGGTTTCCACAAGTTTTTTTTTGTATTTTCTTCTTAATTATAATAGCAAAGATTATTATTATATGTTTTTATTTTTTTTAAACAAACATAACACAATATTTTAATAAAATAAGCAAAAGCAGTCAGATTTCTACACATCAGTGACGCATAAATCATTGCAGATTTAGAACAAAAGAGGGTTTTGCAGATTAAACAAAAACAGCAAACCATATCCTAAATTTTTCATATTTTTCAGGATTTTTTGTGTCTTTTTAGCAACAAGAATAGGAATTTGCTTACTCTTACTTCATTTTTCTAAGTTTATTAAATGGACATGCAAATGTTTGTGTTTTAAGAAAAGCCACTAGATGTTTTTGATCTCTATTACCAATAAATGAAATTAAAAGTAAAAATCAAGATGAATACTTTGTGTTGCCTTACTTGTGGCTAGACCTGTCACAACAAACATTCTCAAAGAGCAATGAACTTTAAATTCTAATGAGCATTTAAAACTGGTACTGGATGACATTTTAAAAGACGAAAATAAATAAACAAAACAATCATAAAGTCTCTGTAAACAAAGTTTTACTTTAAAAAGGGCTGGACAGAGATCAATGATAGAGGCACCAGACTTTAATCATCTAGTTTTTGGTATTAAGAGAAAGAGGAAAGAGAAAAAAAAATACATCATGCAAAGGAAATTATTGAGCTAATGCGATTAATTGATTTATTGCTTATTGCAATAGGTCTAGGAGTGACTAAATCATGCTTTGTGGTCTTACGATTGACGGTAAGCGTCGCTGACACTCTGTCGTTCCCACAGATGAAGGTGTACTCCGCAGAGTCTTCCCTGCTGGTGTTCATGATCTTCAGTTGGTGAAGTTTCCCCTGAACCACGATCCTGAACTTCTCACTCATCTCAATCTCCACGCCGTCTTTGAGCCAGGTGGACGGCACATTGAAGTGAGAAACTTCGCACTCAAACGTGGCCACCTGGGTCTCAGGGACCTCCACACTCTCCATTGGTTTGGTGACACACAGAGCTGCAGGCGAGAAATTGTAACACAATGAAAAAAAGAGTCAAATCATTTAACATTAACAGCTTTTCTGAGAGTTTTAGCTCTCAGAGAAGCTGTTTATTCCGGTAGCTCTGTTTCTTTGTAGGCATCAACAAGAAAAAACTGTTAATGAAAGAATACTTCTCTGGCCATTTGGAAAAGTACTCTTTTCTAATGTCCCACTTAGTTGCGGGGTACCACAAGGCTCCTCCTTTGGTCCTATTCTCTTCTTGTTAAACATGCTCCATTTCTGGTGCATTTTAAAACACAAAGTACTACTTTTCACCATTTTCTGATCTGCTCATTCCAACAAACAGCAACATGTTTATGTTAAAGTCTTGTAAGTCATCTTAGAGTTGTGCAATCACAGAGACTAATAAAATATATTAAGAGTTGTATGAACCCATTAAGTTGAGGTCACAGATATATATGGAAACACTAAATTTTCACACTGCTCGTAAAACTGAAATAAGATTAGATTTGTTTATGACATGACTTTGTGACAGTAACACAAACCTACATCACATCTATATGTACTGTAATTGGTCAATCGTGACTTGTCACTTTGACATCTACTGGTTGTTCAAAACCCAGCGGCCCGCCTTCTGAGGGTGGGGAAAAAGTAGTGTGATTGTACCACACCTCTGCTGGCTTTTTTTTAAACAAAGTTCAGCAGTCTATTTTAAGTGTAACTTTTATTTCTCGGGTCTTAGAGGGTTGTTATCACTTTACTTGTGTGAAATTTCACACCTTCACGCTTCAGCCAGAGCACCAAGGTTCACAGGTCAACTGGGCTTCTAGATATTTTTGGACCCAGGCTCAAAAACAGATGTGGCAAAACCATTTTAGGTGTAGTTTAGAATTAGCATGCCTTTTGATCTCAATCGTTTTGTGATGTTTAATGTAACGATAACAATTATTTTTTATTGTTTTCAATAGCTGAGGTGATTGCTGAGTTTCTAATTATTGACAGTTTTAGTCAGCCGAGACAATTGGTGGAGTTTTAAAAACACTTTAACTCAGATTGAGTTTAATATTCCTTAAATACACACTTGCTAACAAAAAAACAGTTAGGCAACCAGAGGGAATGGTGTGATTTGGATGTAAAATGATTCACATGCAGACCAATGTGAATGCTTCAATGATCAAGAATCTTAAATGTGGCATTTTGAGTTTTATCAAGCAGCTACCAAAGCATGCGTCAATCAGTCAAAGCAGTGAGTGAAAGTCAGCTGACACAAAGGATGCCTTGTAGATATTTAAGACAGCATTACCAGTGGCCCAATGTTGGAGCCAATGAGTAGATGAGGGTACCCACACATGTTGTAAAGCTTTGGAAAGACCGCACCAAGAGGGAATCCTTGATTTGTCCACCAATTACTACAGAACCCAAAGACAACTACACCAAACTCAGGCACTGAACTCTCTACAAACACCAGAAGTGGTTTCAAAGACAGATGTCAGCCAAAATACCCATTTTCCATCCCATATGTAGCTGACATTAACACCAACGCAGACAGGACTGTGTTTGGAGTGGTGCCATAACTGGGAGGTATGGTATCGTAATCTCAGTTCTGCATCACCAAGGATGATCATTGTGTGGTGGCAGCAAGGGTGGAGGACCAATCCTGCCAATGAGATGCACTAGCGGTACTCCAGGCATCATGGTGTTATGGTGTGTAGAGCCACAGGAATCCGGCTTCAGGCCAAGTCAAGTGGTAATTGGAAGGACTTGAGGGACATCCTGTATTTGAAAGGCCGTCTTGAAGAGGAGACAAATGTTTCTGAAAATGTTCTGCCTCGAAACATTGTCTAGAAACAGACAATTTCATTTGCACCACTCCATCTGGGGGCGTAACTTTTTTTTTGCACGAGTGTATTTAATTTTTTAAATCATTTAATAATAATAAAAAAAATTAATGATGTAATGCTTAAGTTGTTTTTTTACGAAACACAAACAAAAACAGACGTAATTTTAAAGGAGAAAAGAAAAAAAACTTGTAGAGTAAATGTAGTTTATATCACTTTCTTTATTGAAAGTTTTTCCTTCTTAATAATTCATGACAGGGTGTTCAGTGTTGCGTACCCTCTACAGTAAGCATGGCGCTGCAGTGCAGGTGTCCGATCACGGCCGTGTACTCTCCTGCGTTGCTGCTGTCGACGTTCTGCAGGATCAGTTTGTGAGCTTTCCTCTCCGACAGAATCTTGCATTTCTCGCTTGCCTTCAGCTCGACGCCTTTGAACATCCACCTGACGGGGACATTGTCATGCGACAGGCTCAACTCAAAGGAGGCGGTGCCGTCCAACAAGGATTTCACGTCTTTAATCTTCTTGACAATCTTGATTGCTGCAAAGATCAATGACAGAAACAGTCATTAAGCAGAAAAAGAAACTTGTTAGATTGGTGCTGTGTGTAGTAGGGATGCAAACAATTAATCAACGGATGATTAATTCTCGATTAATGGTTTATTAGATTAAAATTTATTCCAACTGATTAACTAATAACGTCCAATTAGACCTTATTTTAGTGTTGCACATCCGAGTTGATATAGAAATAAAGATGGCAAGGTCACACCTATGACAAAGTATTGGGTAATTTAAAAAATTTAATCATGAAAATAAACTCAGTATTCTGAGATTAACATCGTAAGAGAATAAAGTCCAAATAATACAAGACATTGACGTATCATGAGAATAAATTCACAATATTACATTTTTATCGTATTACAACTTTAATACTGTGACTTTAATCTTGTAATACTGCAACTTTACTTTCAAAATATTACGACTTCATACCAGAAATATAACTTTATATAACGACTTTAATATTCAAGCCATTTTTGAATATTTCAAAAATGGCTTGAAATATTCTGACTTTATTTGTGTATTATGACTTTGTCTTTTATTTATTTTGAATTTATTCTCTTACAACATTATTCTCATAATATTATTATTATTATTAGTTTTCATTGTATGGTCTCAATACGCTGCTACACATACCAGATTGAAAAAGAGAAATGGTCCAAACAAAGTTCATTATGAGATGCAAAATGAACTTTACATTTCAAAACAGAACCAAGGAAACACTTGACAAGCTCGTAAGTTTCATCTTTCATTTTTCCATAGGGTAACTTAACAGATTCCTGTTTTGTTATATTTTAGAAATATGTTTAACAATTTTAAAATGGCTGCACAACAATTTTCTATTTATTCAGTCTGTATTTAATATAATTGAGAAAATAATAAAATTAAATTGTGCTTTTTTTTTTAACTCAGCATACAAAGAATTTTGCACTTTATGTTATGAAAGAAAGGTCAGCCATTTTCATATAAGAGAACACTATGGCTTTTAAGAAAATATCCACTTACCAATTAATCATTAGTCGATCAATAAAATATATCAACCTTAGATTAACCCATTAATCGCTAATTTGCATCCCTCGTGTGTAGTGATATGTAATGCTGATACTTACTCTCTACATTGAGCCTGGCAGTGGCGGATAGTTTCCCCAGCTTGAAGGAATAAATCGTCTCGTCTTGTGTGTTGCAGTCCTTCACCTTCAGAGTCTGGATTGTCCCTTCTGAGATAATCTCGAACTTGTCGCTGTTCTGCAGTTCGACTCCGTTCCTGATCCACTGGGCTCCTTTCACGTCCGGGTGGGTGAGTTCCAGTGAGAACATAGCCTCCTGGGTCTCTGTTACTGTCTGGTTTCTCAAAGTCTTCTTGATCTTCACAGCTGCAGATAAAAACAAAGAGCACAGCACCATATTTAATCATTACGCACCCTTTACTGTTGGATTAGTTGGTTTCTGAATCATTTAGAAAACTGGTATTCACCTTCCACCTTGAGGTTTGCGCTGGTTTTGGAGTTGGCCACCTGGTAGGTGTACTCTCCGACATCCTGTGGCCTGGTGATGACGATGACGAGACGTCTGACAGACCCGTTCACCTCGCTCACAACGTTCTCGTTGAAGTTGACGAGCTGACCGTCCTTGAGCCACTTGCCTTCAGCTTCAGCGTTGGCAACTTCACACTCGAACTCAGAGGTCTGAGACTCGGCCACCGTCACATCCTGCAGAGGCCGTGTGATGGCGCCACCTGGTGGTTGAATAAGTGAACATTTGTGAATGTGGAGCATAACCTCAATTTCAACATCTGTAAAGAGTTTTAGTCTTTGTGTTCAGTTACAGTGGAAAGCAGATATTTACATTTAGGGTGGGCGATATGTACGGAACAGGATTAGAGCCACTAAAAAGGAAAAAAACATCTGACTTTTTTTTCATAATTCTGACTTCGGATATCAGAAAATTAAAGTCAGAATACTTTTTTTTCAGTGGCCCTAATCTTTTTCTGTATGACACAACTTGACTAAACTTGTCCAGTTTTAAGTCAACAAAAATTACCAAAATGATTTTGATTGTTCAATGTCAGAACAAAGATGTTGATGATGCCATGGTTTTGTGGGCTTTTGAAAGATGTCAAACAAGTGCAATGTTCATCTACTCAAACTATTAATTACGACATCATGGTAATGTTCAGTGAACTTGTCAGGGAGGAAACTGATTTGCTATGAAATGTATGAAATATAAATTTCACACCAAAAGCAAAACATTTTGAAGATGCTGGTCGATGTTAAAAATGAAACAAAAGCTGAAAAAAGGCACTAGCTGAAAGGTCACTCAGAGAGGAAGAAGCCATTATTCAGAATGGAACATAAAAAGCTGGAAAGACATTAATTTTTGAATACATCTTCTATGATTTAAATAAACTAACAAGTGTTTGATCATGGTGTTACATTTGGTGGAAAAAGGGGAAAGTATGCAAGTCTTAATCTATCCTAACTTTAGCATGGGGGTGGCAATATCTTGCAGTGGCGGTGTTCTGCTATGGGAGGGACTGGTGCACTCCATCAAATAGATTGCGGCATGATAAAAGAGCATCATGTGGAAATATTGAAGCAACATCTAAGAACATCAGGCTGGTTAAAGCTGAGGTGCAAATTGAACCAAACATACAGTTGAATTAACTACAAAGTGGCTAAAAAACAACAAAGTCAATTACTGTAAAATGGCCATGGTGTAAGTACCAAGCAAAACTTGTGCCAGTGCTAATTAACATGTAAACAAGCCCACAAACCTGACTCAGTTATACCAGTTCAAGTAGAAAAATTGGCTGATATTCCAACAAAATATGGTAAGAATGTTGCGAACCAAATAGGTTTGACCCAAAGTTAAAAAGACAATTTTATCAAATAATAGAGAATTGAAGGGAATTCTTTAGCTTGTAGAGGTGGTTTTGGAGTCTTAGCTGACCTAAATAAGGAAAGGGTAAGTCAGAGATTTATACACAGTGGACGTAAATATCTGGTTCCAGCTGCAAATAAGTTACGTTCTTTAATTTAGCCCTTTAGTATCTGAGTTTTGACCTACCAGAGACAGTGAGCTGAGCGCTGGATGTCTTCTCTCCAGCGTGGAACATGTACTGGCCCTCTTCATCTTTCATGGTGTCTAACACAGTCAGAGAGTGAGCCGTTCCCTTGGACTCCAACTTGTATTTGGGTCCAGCCTTGAGCTGCTGGTTCCTGAAGGTCCAGAGAGGGTCGATTCCAGGATGTGAAACCTCAACATTGAAGGTGACGTTCTGGGACTCTGAGCACACTTTGTCCTCCATGTGCTTCACAATATGGACCTCTGTGAGAACAACACTGGTAAGACATGGGACTGGAACCTGAAAACATGAATGATGAGAAAATCTAATCCCGCTCACGTTCAACAGTCAGGTTGCAGCTGGTTTCGACCTTGCCGACCACCAGTTTGTAACGTCCTTCGTCTGAAGCAAAGGTCCTGGTAAAGGCAAGTCGCTGTTTGGTGCCCTTTGCCACAGCCTGGACTCGGTCACCTGGGATCAGCAGCTTGTCGTTGTGGTACCATTTGATAGAGCTGATATCCTGAGCTGAGATCTTAGACTCAAGGACTGCCTTTGTGCCTTCAGTGGACGACACGTCCTTCAGTGGCACCACAATGTCGATAGCTTTAAAGATAGAAGAACAGTTTAAAGTAAGAATTAACGAGACCAAGGTGAAGTGGTACTAAGGATGCAAGTTATCGATTAATGAGTTAATCTAAAGTTGACTGTACTTATCAATTGACCAATGATTAATTGATAAGCTTGTATTTTCCAGCATGCTGCAATTTTTCTGCATTATCACATCATCCTTGCCTTCATAGCACATCAGTAACTTTTGAAGTTAATTTTTCTCCACCATGCAGTACGGCTAAATAAGTCCTAATAAGGACTTAAGGAGCTTGTTGAGTAATATTTCAAAATAGAACCACATAGAAGGCCTTTTCCAGCCGAAACCAAAATGGAGCCAATCTGTTTCTCTTCAATGTTTTGATATGGCACCGCCATCTTCTATCAACTGGCTCCTCTTACGGATGGCCAGTGACGCCCTCTGCTGGATGGCAGCCAAACAACACCTAAAGAAGCTTTAGGCAGAATTATTAGTTGATCAATTGGAACTAATTTAAATCTAATGAACCATTAATCGACAATTAATTGTTTGCATCCCTAGGTGATATGTTTATTTTGATATGGAAACACTTACTTTGCACATTGAGTTTGCCTGAGGTGGAGATTTCATGAGTTGGAACCACAAATGAGTAGGATGCAGCGTCTTCTCTGCTAACGTTCTCCACTAGCAGTTTGTGAACCTGTTTGTCGATGACGATGTGGATGCGGTCTGAGGCAGAGACTGCCTGGCCATTTTTCAGCCAGGTACCTTCAACGTTCTCCTGGGAGAACTTGACTTCCAGCTGAGCAATGTCACCCTCACAGATAGTAAGGTCAGTCAGCGGCTGCATTAGAGTCACGGGTCGCACTGGACAGGAACAAAACGCACATATATTCAGTAATAACTAGTCAAGTCAAATTACGTTTGTACTGCATATTTCAGCAACAAAGCAGTTAAAAGTGTTTTAGATCATAACACGATCATACAGTCACCAACTATGAAACGAGAAATAAAAATTATGTTATTATTGGAAAAAATGTCAGTTAATATTAATCAAAGGTGTAAACAGTGTTTTGGAGCTTTCTGGATGTTTTCTAAAACGACTAATCAAATATTCTACATATTTTAAGCTAGCAGAGGAACTTTGTGGCAACACAAATATCTAAAAAAAGCTTACATTTCATTTTCAGTGAGGCGCTGGTCCTCAGATCTCCACAAACAAAGGTGTACTTCCCCTGGTCGTCCTTCCTGACGTCCTTGACAGCCAGGGTGTGCCGTCCTCGGCGGGAAGCTATGACATATTTACTGCTGGGAGAGAGCTCTTTCTCGCCAAAGAACCATTTTCCCTCAGCATCTTCGCGAGAAACCTCAACCTCAAACTCCCCAGCATAGCTCTCTGGTACTTCAATGTTTTCCAAATGTTTGTTGAGCTCCAGGGCGGCACCTGAGGTACACAGGAACGTCAAGAACCTTGACCTACTTTCCACACAAACAAGACTATATAAAAAAGGAATTCAGAGTACAAACCTTCGACATGGAGCCTTGCATTTGTCCTGATATTCTCGTCATCTATTACCATACATGAGTATTCTGCATCATCACTCATTTCAATTATCAGCACAGACAGGAAGTGGACCTTTCTGTCAGAGTGCATCCTGTATTTGTCTCCTGAGAAAATCTCAACATTATTCTTCAGCCATTTGACCTTGACGAATGGTTCGTTGGTTTCACATTCAAAGGTCACCATGGTGTCCTTCTCATTTGCACTGGCATCAGCAAGGTTTTGGATAAAACTAATGGCTGCCTTGGCTGTATGAGAAATACAAAATTAGACTTTGACATCAGGAGGTAAATACGAAAGATAATTAGGGCCACTAAAAAAAGAATTCAGACTTTTGATCTCAGAAGATTAGTCAGAATTCTGACCAAAAAATAAAGAATTCTTATACTAAAGTCAGAATTCTGGGACAAAAGGTCAGTATTCTGAGATTCAAGTAAAATGTTTCACACACAAACAAAGAATTCTGACTCAGAAGATTAGTCAGACTTCTGACAAAAAAATAAAGACTTCTGAGATTAAAGTCAGATTTCAGAGAAAAAAAGTCATAATTGTTATTTTTCAGTGGCACTAATCCTCTTCCATAGGTAAAGTACAAGGAAATTACAGATGAGATTTTGTTTTTGACTTTACCTTGTACAAGAAGGAAGGCATGGCTTGACGACTCTCCAGCAACATTGATGGCCTTAACCATAATGCTAGCAGAATCCTCCACTGTGACATCTCTAATCACCAGTTCACACACATGATCCTCAGGCCAGTACCAGTAGATACGGTCAGATTTTTCCAGAAGAATGCCATTCTTGAACCACTGGCACTCAGGTTCTGGTCTACCGACAACTCTGACTCTGAAACGAACCTCGTCCTTTGGAGAAACAGTCTTGCTTCCAATCCGTTCGAGGATATGTGGGGCTTCCATGCTGGGTGACAGCTGGATCCTCTCCGGTTTGATTGTGGGGATGGTGATTTTGCCTTGCTCTTCCATCTTCCTCCTTTCAGCTTCTTCCATTTCCTTCATGTGATGAAGTAGCTCGTCTTTAGTCTTTTTTAGTAAATCTTCATAGGAGTCATCCCTCTTGCGAGATTTGAATTCTACTGCAGAGATAGATTCATAGAAGCCCTCCTCTGTTCTGCGCTTGAACTTGCTCTTTAGCTCCTCAGACTCCTCAGAGGTTTTCTCATGAACGATTCTCTGCGCCTTACGCAACTTAACTACTTCCCTGTCCTGTGGGACCTCACCAGGTCTGTCCACCTTGACAATGTCAAATCCGATTTTGCCAGATTCATGTGGGACCTCTGCAGCTTTGGGCTCTGGAGCACGACGCAGCACTGCTCTAAAGTCCTCTCTCTGTTGGATCTCCAGCTTCACGGTGTGTTCAGTTGTGCCTAAAGGATTGTCTGCAACCACTCTGACTTCACCGGAGTCGTACGACTTGACGTCAACAATCTCCAGGTAGTAAATACCATCGTAACGAAGTCTGTATCTCTTGCTTTTGCGAATGAGTTGTCCGTTGAGGTACCAATTAACCTTTGGAGCAGGGTAGCCGGTCACTCTGCAGCGGAACCGAGCGATGTCTCCTTCCAGCACTCTGGCTGGCTCTGGAAGCAGGACAATTTCAGGTTTTGTCTTTTCGGATTCATCATCAAGGCTGACTCCTGCAGGTCCTCCCTCATGGGCAATGCGCTCAATCTCATCCATTCGATATGCTCCCTTCCTGCCTTCAGGAAGCTGAGATTCCTCTACAAGGCCTTTCTCATCCTTGACGATCAGGGTAGCCGAGGTCTGGTCGACTCCAAACTTGTTGGTTGCTCTGCAGGTGATCACTCCACTGTCTCTTGCATAAGCAACCTCATAGTCCAGGCTGCAGTAGCCAAACTCATTGACCATACGCAGCCTGTTGGCAGCAGCCAGAGGCTTGCCATCATGAAGCCAATCCACCACCATGGTGGGGTCTCCAATTGGAGTCAGCCTGCACTCAAAGTGGGCTGGACCAAAACGTTTCATCCTGATGGAGGTGAGCTTCTTCTTAAACGCTGGTTTCTGCTGCTTCTCCTTGTCATAAAGGTCGCCTTCCTCCCACTGCTCTTGGCCATAACGCATGTGGAGTGGCTCCAGTTCTGGAGCGGCAATCTCTTTAGCTTTGTAGGTTCCTCTGGGAATAATGAGCTTCCTCTCAGCTTGCGGGGCAGAGTGATCTACCTCCACATTGACTCTGCAGCGGGTGGTGTCTCTGCCAGCCTTGTTGATAGCTGTGGCAGTATACCATGCACTGTCTGAGCCAGCAGATGAAGGAATCTGGAATTTGGCCTCTCCTTTGGTTCCTTCAATCCTGGAAAAAGCAAGGAACCAAGTGAATCAAAGTACAAATGAATTGCTTTACAGAGACAGAAAACAAACCAGAAGAAATACCTGATGTGTGGGTGCTTTGATGGAGTAATAATGTCGCTGTTTTTCAGCCAAACGATATCTGGCAGGGGGTTTCCAATGGCTTTGACAGCCAGTTCCACCAATGTGCCCTGCTTCACTGTGATGTTCTTCAGTTTTTCAATAAATTGAGGTCTGGATACGCTTTCTCTGGCTGCGGATCCCATAACAAGGCGGAAGTTAATAATGAGACACTTTTAAAGTTTCTGTTGATGTAGCACTCTGTAATCCAAGTTTTACCTTCAACAGAGAGATTAACGGCAACAGATGTTCGTCCAGCTCGGTTCTGAGCGACAACGGTCCATTCTCCAGAGTCTTTTGGCACAGCTGGGACAATAATCAGGGACTGAGTGCCATCCTCCTTAATCACTATCTTGTGTGTGAAGTCGTTGACAATTTGTTGTCCTGAAAAGGAGGATAAGACTGGATTTTTAAAGGCTGAAGAACCAAAGAAAGTTATTGAAAATATTTAACACTGCTTCTCTTACCATTGTGGAACCAGTAGGTTTCAGGCATTGGTCTGCCTACAACCTTTAAGTCAAATCTGGCAGTTTGTCCCTCTGCGCATTTGATAGAGGAAGGCTTCATGACAAACACGGGTTTGTAAAGTCTTTCCAGATGAATTTCATCAGTCTCTTCAAGGCGGCGAGCTGGGGAACGTCCAGGTGAACGGCTGGATGAACGGCCAGGAGAACGACTCAGAGAGCGAGGAGATGTGGATCTAAAAGGGGGAAGCAGTGTGTCACCACTTAGCAGGCGAGAGACTTCAGATGCAGCATTCAGAGCAGCAGAGATATTACTTTTTCAGTTTTTGGTGTTTCTTTGCAGCCTCTGACGAGGCAAAAATTCCAACCTGGTTTGTACGTCAGTGCATTTTGTCAATTCATCTCCATTTTCATAATTTCTCAGCATTAATATTTGTTCAGTACTGACCTAATCCTCTGCATTGATGGCTGTGGTGTGTAACTGGGAGGAGTTACACCTCCAGAAGGCTCCACGTAGAGCTTCCCTGAGCTGACGGCATTTCCCTTCATGTTGGAGGCGAAGGCAGTGTACACTCCTTCATCCTCTGGTTGAACCACGGACAGACGGAGGCTGGCTCGTCCATCCTGAAGGACCTCCATCTGGTACCGGCCACCAGGCCTGATGCGCTGGCCGTCTTTGTACCAAACAATCTGCAGGAGGTTTTATGAATCACTGTAAGTGATGTGTCAAACTCAAGGCCAGTCATAGCTGTTTATGTGGCCCTCTAGACTTCAGACAGCTACCTAAAAAACCTTCAAAATAACAATTGTGTTCTCATATATTATTTTATTAATATGTTCAAAGCAGTTATATCTGTATACTGCCAAATTACATCTATAAGTCTCTCAAGTATTTTGCGATTCTGGAATAATGGAGTAAATAATTGTGAATTTATTGCAATTTTTTTGCAAAAATTGTCAAAAACATTGTGTTTAAGTGACTAACTCCCACATGGATAGGGCAGTATTTTTACTTCTACTACATTGCTGCCTTTATCTTACTTGGTATCAAGTTAGTCCATGATTGATGTGACGAGTAACAACAAGTCACAATTACCATGATGCTTAAGTGGAAATATTGCAAAAATATTGCAAAATTAGAACAAAATTGTTAATTTCCTTTTTTTTTTTAATCTCGAAAACAATCATGAAATCCTGGAGGGACTGATAAAAGTGAAAAGAGGTTCAATATTATTTAAATTTAAGAAGAACTCAACAAATGCAGAGACTAATATGTCTTAATATATTAACAGTTCACTAATGAATTAATACATATATGATATATGGGTTTCCAGCAGATTATTAAAAGTTATAACACAAAACTCTGACAAACAGTATCTCATGCTTCACAGATATGTTCAGATTTGATTGGATTAATTTCCATATTGAGTTTGAATATGACGGTAAATATCTTTTTCTGCACCTTAGGCAGCGGTGTGCCAGACATCCTGCAGTGGAAAGTGACGCCCATTCCTTCCATGATCCGGTAGTTTTTCACTGGCGTCTCAAAGGCCGGCTGCAGGGCCTCTTCTTCTGCGACAGTCACCATCAGCTCTCCGTCCTCGGTCACCAACTCTCTGTAGGTGATCTGCAAGATACGGATCTCAATCTCCTGGATGATCCTCTCCTCAAAGGCCGAAATCATGAACTCCTGAAAGAAAAAGAGCGGAACATTAAACCTGAGGTTTAATGTTGAGGTTTGGAGTACTTGCTGAAAGAACAAGTACTTCAAGAACTGTACAAAAAACATAACTACTGCAAAGTCTGATCTGCAGAAGAAGATTACCGTTTCTGAGATGAAGCTCATGGGGGTCGTCACCCTCCTTTGTTCAAACTCATACTGAGCTACGACCGGCTGGGGTTCCTGGACCACGGTCGTTGTCACTTCGGTTTTATATGTCACATCTTGTTGCTTCATGTAGGCTTCATATTGTTCTGCAAGCAGAAAGAATGTAAGAGCCTGAACTGCAAAAACACAAAATTTTACCAAACATTTCTGTCTGGTTTCCTCTGAAAATATTTAGATTGAAATAAAACAAAAGTAAATCAAATAACTTTTCAGCAGGATTTAGGAGCTTGTTTTAAATCAATCATTTTTTTAATGAATTCAGAAATTAATAGATTATTTCAGATATAACATGGAAAACATTTATTTATATAAGAGAAATAATCTGCCATTGGAACTACTTTTTCAACTGTAATAAGACATTTGCAAAAAGAAAGTAGTCCAAAAAACGTAATAATGGCATTGTGCAGTGTGGTCCAACACAGAAATAAAGGCAAAAAAACAGAAAATGTGAATACCTTCATCCAGCAGGATGGCAGTGGCTGACGCTTCTCCGAGAGGATTCTTAGCAAAGACGGAGTACTCTCCTGCGTCATCAGCGAAGGTCATTGAAATCTCCAGTCGGCATTCTCCGGTCTCCTTTTTGTAGGCAACTTTATATCTGAAAGAAAGAATAAAGTTTGTTATCTTCTCTGATCCAAAGGGGTTGAGGATAGGAGCGGGTAATGTGGAATTACAATTTTATTGTGATATGTTGTGGTGCTATTGTAATAATGATAAAAATTATGATAAACTATATATTACTTTTGTATACTATGATTGATTTTGTATACTTAAGAGTTTGTGAGTGCATTAGCACCACAAACACAAATTCTGCTCTTGAAAAAAATATTCACATTTGAAATAGGCTTCTTCAGGACATCAGTAACTTAAAAGGGAAAACATTATGCTATATTCACATTTTGCACTTTTTTGTACTTCTATTGGGTCTCTACTGCTTCTAAAAACAGTCCTGGCAATAAAAAAACAAAACAAACATCCAGTAAGTTTTTGGCAATAAGTTAATGTTTCTTGGTGTGTGCAAATGAGCCGTTTAAAAAAAAGTCTCATTGTATTGTCACAAATCAGCTGGCACTGCCCCTCAGCTAACAACCCCAGCGAAGCTGACTCCATTACCTAGCAAATTCGTCACCTAGCAAGGCAAGCTGAGTTCCAGCACATTTGGTGCGCAGCTTGTTCCAATTTTTAACAGTATTGTAAGAAATTTTTATAACAAATAATAAGCGTTATAATAAATGACCATCCCTAGTTGAGGGTTATTACAGAAAATCATATTTAGACTAATGTAAGCTCTGTGCATGGAGGACCGTGGGTTGTACCTGTATCCAGTGGTGAGTGGAACGCCACTCTTCTTCCAAATGATGTGAGGTCTTGGGTTTCCTGCAATTTGACACTCAAATACAACACTTCCTCCCTCCACCAGCTTCTGGGGAGTGGGTTTCTTAATAAAGAAGGGGGCAGCAGTTTCTCCGGTGCTGATCTCTGCCTGCTCCCTCATCTCGACAGCAACACTGCAGAGAAGCAACATCTGGATTTAGATTCAGATCAGAAACTGCAGCATAATAGGGTTGGATGTTTAAAACTCACGTTTTGGCTTCTGTGAGCCCAGTTTTTGTGACAGTCACCATCTCCTCTCTGCTCTCTATTTCCTCTGAAACTGCAACATAATCAGAGAACACCAGATTTGGTGGGTTTTTTGTACAGTTTATTCTCATTTTCTCTATGGCGTATTACAAAGTCATGAACTGAGTTTGCTTTGTAGACAGCCAGTTGTCTATTTCACAGCTTTAACATATTTTACTCCAAATCTGACCCTTTTTTGTTATTCGTTTGCATATTTTTGTCAGTAATCAGCCTGTAGAAATTACAATTTAAGAGAAAATTTTTGATGAAGCAAAGTCTCTTATTGACAAAGGCACAAATAAATTAAAATATAATTTGAATCTAATATGTCTCAATATTATGCAAAGGTCATAGACAAACCCCAAAGACTTTTAAAAGGGCTGAACAACAATTCAATAACTATATATATATCTCAATATACATGTGATCAACATCAATAGATAATATTGATGGAATATTTGATAATTTTGCTAAACTCTCTTCCAGAACTGCACAGCATTCTGGGGGACGACGGCAAAAAGACTTTACCCACTAAAACTTTCATGGCTAAGCTAAGTGATCTTTTCGAGTGTCCATCTGTTACCTTTTACGAGCAGGTAGCAGGAGGTGCTGATGGTTCCGGCCTCATTAGTGGCGGTGCAAGTGAAGCGACCGCTGTCTTCGGCAAATGCCTCGCGGATCATCATTCGGGCGATGCCATTCTCATAGCTGATCTGAAAGTCAATTGAACTCTCGATTTTGTAGTCCTCTCTGAACCACATGATGATGGGGGCGGGCTGACCGCTGATCTGACACTCCAGGGTCACCGACTCGCCCTCTGTCACTGTCAGGTTCTTCAGGCCCTGAAACAAACCAGAGAATTGGTCAAGAAACCTGAACAAAAGATTCAGTTCTTACTTAATTTCATGAAGCTGAGGAAAGATTTTTTTTGGTCCTAATCAATTATTTTCAAGGCTTTCTGAAGATCTTTCAAGATTTATAGAATTAAACCAGGTGAAGTCAAAACTGTCACTAGAGAAGTTTTGAGTAGAACATATTTACAGTTAGGTTTTTTTGTACAGTTTTTGCTTAATTGCTGCCTTAATTGTGTTGTTCTTTAAGCATCTGGTCTTTTTGAGGCTTTTTACTCCAGTTAATAATTTATCGGTTGCTAAATTAGATGAGAATTTTTTCAATAATTGCTTTATCACAATGAATCATGATTAATCATTTTAGTCCTATTTGAAAATGACTGAAACAGAAAGTGGAGGGAAAGGTTACTTACTGCCAAGATAGTGGGAGGGACTGCAGGTTCTTGGGCTCTCAATGGCACAGCGACCGCCTCCTATAAAGACCAAACAAGAGTTAGAAAGACAAATAAGATGCGTTTTATGATCTGCAGGGTTCTGAGAGGATGGAACAAGAAGTTGGTTAACACGGATAAAAGGACAGATGAAGACAGAGGGAGACAAGAGGAGGAGCCTTCAAAACGGTGATGTGTGATTGGCTGCAGAGAGGGGCTGAGGAAAGAGTTAAAAAAGAAGAGGACAGTGGTAAAGGACCAACCTGAGGCTCCCAGTCCTCAAACTCCTCCTCACTCACTGCATAAGCCCCGCCCTCAAACTGCCTCTGATATCTGATGTCCTTAAACGGTGGAGGGAGAGGCTCCAGCGTCACTCTGGCCTCTACCACCGACCTGCGAGACGGACTAGGAGACTTGACCGGTTTGATGATCTTCCTGGTGGCGGAGGGGGAGGCCAGCTCTTTGTGCAGAGCAGCGATGGCTGAGCTGGTGATGGACACCTGAACCGGCCAATCAAAGCAGGTTAAACACCACGATCAGGAACAAACAGGAAGTCCACGATTAGTGAGGGAAGACGGTGATGGAGACTCTGAGTGAAGGTCGGAAATCACTGAGAGGAGGCGGCAGGCAGCCGGAAAGAAATAAAACCAACTACTGTGTCGTGCAAAAGTTTTTACAACCTTTAAATATTTTTATCTCATTACCAACCTTTAAATATTTTTATCTCATTACCAGTGTTTCTTGGGATTATATGATATAAACTAATATAAAAAAGTGTAGAATTTTGTCAAATTACAATAAAAAGTGTTGATTTAATTTATATTCTGGAATCTCTAAAGAAAACAATGATTGTTGATCTGCTGAGATAAATCCAGATATCTGAAGGAAAAACTGAAAAAACAATTTTTCACAACATTGCTATTTTTAAGCATGGTGGTGGCAGCATTGCACTGTGGGGATGTTTTCCTTCAGCATTTACAAAGAAGCTGGTTTTGATAGGAAGACGGATGGAGCCAATCCGTACGAAAACCTGTGGGTGGCTGCAAAAGAAACCCTCAAAATCCAGCTAATTGGTTCAGATTAAAGCACATCTATGATTTATAATGTCCTACTTAAAGTCCAAATTTAAACGAAGTTGAGAATCTATTGCAAGTCTTAAAAATTAATTTACATAAATGCTATCTTTCCAATCTAGTCTGTAGATGTGCCAGCAGTGAGAAGGCAGTTCTGGCATTAATTCTCTGTTCAATTCATAATTATATTATTAGTGTTATTATTATATAATTATATCATAAAATCCCAATAAAATACACTGAAGTTTCAGGTTTTTTGAAGTTCAGGGTTAAAGATACTCCTGCAAGGAACAGAAATACCATGGATTATAAAATGATGGAAAACATGGAAAACACTATGAAATACAAACCATCCAGTGATTATTGAATTTTCTTAGAAAAGTCAATATGTTTTATGTTTATGTTATTCAGATTTAATTTGTTCACTTCCAAACATTTCTGCATTTCCGGCTGCAACACATTTCCAAATCCTTTGGGGAGAAATAGTTCTCCCCAAAGACAGCTAAAAAAAGTGTATACCTATAGACATTTATGTGCTGTGCTGGCAAAATCAGTCTGTATTGTTTAGAGAAATAGTTCTCCCCAAAGGATTTGGAAATGATGAGAAATTAAAAGAAGCGTTGAAGACAAAAAAGAAAGGTCTTCCAAGAGACAACATTATGAGGAAAAAAAGATTGTGAGAGGATCTCCAGTTTGACAAGAAAAGTGTATGAAAAAGCACTGAACAGGTTCCAAGTAATGTATTTTTTTTTGCCTTTGTAGCTCTGATCCTACGTCAACAGCTGATAGAACGTGGACAAGGTATCACTTTGAAACCCTTTGTCAGCAAAAATGTAGCAGCCAGAACATAGAAAGTCACATAACACAAACATTCCAAGGCGTGATTCAGGAAGAAATGAAGAAATTCTGCAAAATGTTTTTTTTTTTTTACAAGTTTTTAAACTTTCATTTGGATTCCAACAGCTTCAAAAACAGCTTAAAAACCGGATACTTTTGTTTTTTATGGGTGTTTGGAGAAGAAGTCCCAGCAACATTAAAATGGAAAACTAAACAAAATTTTTCTGTAACGTGTTGCAGCCTAAAATGCAGGACTGGATGGAAAACAACCAAAATGAAGCTTGACCTTGACATCAGATCTTCAAGAATTGGACGATCTTAGCTTTTTCCATGTTGTTCCAACATCTTCTGATTTAGATTTGGTGAAACCTTAAAAACTAAAAGATTGACTTTAGGTGAAATAACTAGATGAGTGAAAAGTGAACGTCAGGAAAGATCAATTCGGAATCAACAGACTGTGAGATTGAAGGATCGAAGAACTGTGCAGGTTTAGGATGGGTGATGGTGAAGAGGGAACCAAAGTGAACCACAACTGTTACAAATGTGTGTTTGTTAAAGATGGTATGGAGGTTCTGGGGCGGCAACGGCGGGCCCTGCAGCCGAACCTCTTACCTCCCGGCTCGGTTCGTGTTTAGGAACGGAAACTTTAGAAACCGTGAAATGCGGGACTGTGGACGGAGAGACGCCGGTGTCCACCTGGGAGGAGACCTCGGCTGTTCTCTGAATCTGGAGTGATCAACACATGAGCTGTTAGGGAGAGTCTGGATGATCCGGTTTGATCTAACAGCCGAATCCTCAGACCTGATGGATTTGCTGGACCTCCTGGAACTGGACTCGTTGTTGCTCTTTGGGTTTTGCAGCAACAACCTGTTTGTCTGTTATCACTGCTGCCTGCTTCACCTCAAGAATCTCCTCTTCTTCTTCCTCCTCTCCAGCCCAGACACCCTCCTCATGAATGGGCTGGCGAACACGAGCAAGGTCAACGGCGGCCAACACAGTGGCGACCGCCTCTGCTTTTTTCTCCCCTTCAGTCTAAAGGTAGAACGAACAGCACACAGATCTCAGGAAGGTTGACAGTCGAGTTGAAAAGCTTTCAAATATTCAACCAGGAGAAGAAGAAAAGCAGCAGCATGTGGAACTTTAGGGGAAAACAAGGAGATGAAGCCACATTGATACTGAGTTCTTCATGTGAGTACTATTTAATTAATAAGAATGGTCTAAAATCTTCAACTTTTCTAAAAGTGAACTCAAGTTTGGAAAGAAGATGTGATTTAGGGAGCACCAAGACTGTTTGTCCACTTTGATTCAACTCTTGTTTGTTTGTCCAGAAACACTGGTTTGTTTGGGAAGGTGTGAATGTATAATCAAAGTGGCCCGTAAACCTCTACAAACGAAGGTGAAGGGCATTCTGGGTAAATACAACCAAAACAAACACAGAGTCTAGCGCTAGCTAGAGAAATGGTTTGTGGTTTTCTCCAAAGACAAAAGAGAAATTCTATAACCGCTAAAATCTGATGCCACTCCATTTTTGTTAACATGTGGTAAAGCGGGAATTTGTGCTCATTGTCTTCTTCAGAAGTTTTTGTGTTGCTTCTTTCAGTTGTTCTTGGTGCAGCGCCCCCAAAGCTGAGGAGGGGAAACATGTTGCTCAAAGAATTTAGATTGCTTGACACAGTGAAAGTGAATCACACGAGCTGAAAATGAAACAAATGTTGTAATTTTGGTCCTCAATCGAACTCAGTCTACTTGACTGTCAGGTATGAAAAGATCCTTACAGGAAGTTAAAGGGTCATCCTCTGGAGAGAAGTCAAGTCAAGTTTATTTGTAGAGAACATTTCAGCAACAAACCAGTTCAAAGTGCTTTTCAAATAAAAACAAAATGCAGTAAACAATTATAAACAAGAAATAAACATCATATTCTGTCAAATACTATCATCAAAATCATCAAGCAAATATATGTCAAATATGGTGATCAATGTTCTATTTGCTACTAATTAGAAACAGCTCTAAACAAGCCTTCTCTAAAGAAACTGTTTGCAGTTTTTTAGAATTTCTAGTTTCTGAATGCTGCTTCTCCATTTTTTAGTTCTAGTTCTTGGGATGCAGAGCAGAACTATATATGCGTTGTTGCAGTAATTGATGCGACTAAAGATAAACGCATGGATGAGTTTCTCAAGATCTTGCTGGAATATTAGTCCTTTAATCTGGGAAATGTTCTTCAGGTGATAGAAGGCTGACTTTGTAACTGTCTTTATGTCGCTCTGAATGTTTCTGGTCTGAGTTCATCACTACTCCCATTTGATCCAGAGGATCCCAAGATACAAACACATCCACCAGTAAACACCAGGTCGGAACAGAACTGAGAAGGACCTTCTACTCACCTCTCTACTGGCGGCCACCTGATGCTCCCACTGTTTCTCCATGTGCAGCTGTGTGGAGCTGCTCATGCTGCTCATACTGGTCATGCTGGTCATACTGGTGTAGCCTTCAGTCACGTAATCTCCCTGCTTCCAGGGCGGGAGAACCTCAGTGGAGCCAGAAACCTAGAGCAGAAAGGAGGAAGGTTTTGGATGATCCTTTGGTTCTGATGCAAACTGGATTTACTGAAAAAGTTTTAGTTATATGTATAAAGGATTAGATTCCTCATTTTCAGAATTCATACAATAAATGAAATTAAATGTTTGTTTAGTCTAAGTCTGATCGTGTACAAAACAGAAAACTTTACCAGAGTAAAAAAATCAAAATAAACAACAGAATTAGGTTGAATGTTTGATTTTTGTGGCAGAAAGTTGTGGAGAAAACCAAGAAAAGTAAACAAAAAGCTGTTTCTGAAGTAGACTGTATGCTTCAATTAAAATGAAAAATGTTTCTCAAACTTCTCTCATGGTAATTTTAATGGTTAAAGGTTTACAAAACAGCTGGACTTGGTCTCTCACCTGTTTTCTGGTCATCACAGGAGAGCGGACAGGTCTGATGGGAGAGATGGACATCCTGCTGGAGGGAGAGACGGGTCTGCAGAGAACAACATTTCATTAAACCTCACAGCTTGGCCGTTTGAACCACAGTACACCTGTGGGCGGAAGCTTACCTGACAGGTGCAGGCGTTGGTCCCTTCACATGTCTGACGGGTGAAGGTGACTGCTGGCGACCTCCCGGTACCTTGGAGACGAAGGACGGCGGAGACCTGGATGTGGGTTTAGGCGGGACCCTCGGTGGGGTTTTGTGAGCAATGTGTTGAGTCATGATTCCTCCTTCAACGTGCATCTCCATCATAGTGGTGGCCTGGAAACTGGCCTCCATGGACTTCTGGAAAACACAGCAAAACATTTCAGATTTAAAAAGTTCCAAAAGCAAATTTTGATTCAATTTACTTATTGTAAATATTGAGGTGGATGTTTTCCGCATATACTTTTCCCGAAGGTTTTCTTGAAATAACAACTTATTTCCCGGTGGTTTTCTCAAGATAAGTTAATTTAACTCATTAACTAATTATTTTTGAGAAAATTTTAAGAAATTAACTCATTATCTCAAAAAACATCATTTCAAAAACATTACGACCTATTTTAAAAAAGGCCTCTTAAAATAGGTTTTCCCGATTACATATGAATGTTATTTTAACAGTATTTCTTATTTATATTTATGAAATTGTATTAATATAATTTTTTATCTTGTGATTTCATTTAACGCCACTTATGGCCACTAGGTGTTGCTCTGACATAACTCACCCTTTCCATTGTGGTTCCGGACATCTCCATCTGGGATGTGGACATGATCGTCTTTGTTTTCTTAATGGGAACTGCTTCTTCGCCTGTATAAGACACACAGCAGAAAGTTTAGCTCCAATCCAAACAGTCATAACCAGAACCTGAACTGGACTGAGCTCACCTTGAACCAGCAGCTCGCAGGTGGATGTGGCCCGCCCGCTGCTGTTGGTGGCTGTCACAGAATAAGCCCCAGAATCCTCTGGGAAGGCCTCAGCGATCAGCAGACTGTACAGGTCTCCTTCCTGCAGGATCTGGAAGTCGGTGGAGCTCTGGATCTCGGCTCCCTCCCTGTAGAACTTCACCACAGGTGTGGGGATACCAGAGACTCTGACGCTCAGCCTCACCTGACTGCCCTGCCTCACTGTGGAGCTCTGAAGTCTCTGAATGAAGGTTGGTGGCGCCGTCTCGGCTGCAGGAACCCAAAGTAAAATCAGAACATTTTCATCAACTTTAAATTTTAAAATAGAAATAAAAGATCATCCCTGAACTTTGACCTCATCAAGCATTCCCTGCTGATCTCCATCGTTCTGTAAATGATGATTCAGAAGCCATCATCGCGTAATAAAAGTCCAGATTCCAGTTAAGGAAAGCTATGCTGCAGCAGCTGCACCTATATCGGTTTTATCACTGGATTAAATAACAAGCTCTGCCCACACAGCTGATGGCGGGATAAATTTAGACTTGGACCGGAACGCACTGCTTCAATTTTAAACTTTAATTTATCCAACGGCACGGTTCAGTTAGCTGCTGTCATTAAAAGGACACTGAACACCGACTAAACTAAGGGATAAAATACCAGCTGTTGCTGCGAAGGTGTCGATATGTGAATTTAGGAGCAAAATATAACTTAATGTTGAGAAATTAATTTCACAATCTGAATTTAATCTTGTTGTCATAACATGTAATCCATAATCCAGGATCTGACTCTGAAGCAGCAAAAAGTCGTTCTAATGTTCCAACACAACTTAAATTTAATTAAGTCAATTATGCAATAGTGGGAAATGCCAATTCCTCTAGATTGAGGTCCAACTCTGACCCAACTCCATAAGACAAAACGTATGGAACTGGAGTCACATTATTTAAACGAACATCTAAACTTTTCACCTTTTTTTAAAAATATTTGTCAATTTCTTCCTCAATTATTTCTAATTTATTTTTTAAACAATTATATATTATATATTTTATTCAATTTTTAAAAATATGTATTTTGTTAGTTTTTTCTTCAAATTAATCAATCACTTTTTTAAAGGTATGTACAGTTCAAGGGTATCTAATGGTCAATAATCAATAATTAATAGATAATAAATACTGATTACATTACTGAGGATGAAATAAATCCAGTTGTTTGATTTGAAGAACAGATATCACCTAACTGAAGCAGGAAATCCAACTCCAGTTAATGATCAATCAATTACTAAATTTGTTGACAATTATTTCAATAAACAATTAATCACGATTAATCGTTTCAGGTATAATTGAGTGTTAATCTGAGGTTTTGATTTTCAGAAAAATAAAATGATCAAACATGAAAGAAAATCAACTAAGCAAATATCTCAGAATCACTCGGTCTATTCAAGGTGCAGACGGTCTAGTCCAATCATCTCAGTCTCACCTGTAACCAGGAGCTCAGCGGTGCTCGTAGCTTGTCCAGCGCCGTTGGTGGCTCTGACAGAAAAGCGTCCGCTGTGTGCGGCAGTCACAGCGGGAATGCTCAGAACAGCGCGGCCGTCGCTGAACGAGATCTGGACGCCGGGCAGAGCTGCGGCGGAAAGAACCTGGCCATCACGGAACCAGCTCACCTCAGGAACTGGAAAACCTGGAGAGGAAAAGGTCAGGGGTCAGGGAAGCAAAAACTAAATGCTGCAGAACGTCATCTACAAAACAAAAAATTTATTGTACGTCAAGAAAAAATAATCCACCTTAAAATCAAGCAAATTAAGTCACCCAATCACCAAATAACTCAAAAATTTTCTACAAATAATTTGGAAAGTTCTGAGTTTAAAAAGTTTAAAATTTGCACACAAAAAAAGAGAAGTTGTGAGAGTAACCTCAAAAATTTTTTTAAAAATTTAAAAATTTGATTACTTTTGTAACTCAAAAATGTCCAAGTCTTTTCCTGTAAAAATGTAGAAAGTAAATTTTTGATGGTAATTTACTCTTCCTTTTTTCTACTTACAATTGTTGAGTCAATTAATTTCTCAACATTGTAAATTTTGCCCGTTTGCTGTATTAAAAGAAAATAATCTAATATTCTTTTTTTTTTTTTTTTGGCTCAACTGAACAAATTTATTCTCAGTAATAAGAACAGGATTTGGGTCACTTTCTCTTTGTTTGTTATGTTTAGTCAAGTTTAATAAATTAAATAAAACTTGATTTGGTTGCATCAAAATCCCTTTTTCAGTAGATGCCTATGAATAAATAATTGTATATTTTGCTAAAGCTTGGTATTTAAACACTTGCATTGTACTTTAAATTTTTCATTGTAAGAAAAGTAAACCTGTCAGAATTTTACCCTTATTACTAATTAAAAGTCTCCATCTGCGTATACAGGGCAAATTTGTGTCATTTTTGAATTGCAGTTGGTTTGGGAGCCGCACAAGTGCAGTTAATTTATTGCAGTTTACTTTTACATGTTTACCAATGCAGTCAACCTTTTTTTTTCTTTCAGTTTCATTATTTATTTTACAATGGCTGTTATACTCCTAATTGCACCGACTGAACAAATTAAAGTTGTTTTCACATGTTTGACCAAGCTTGTAAAGCTATAGGTGTATTTAAATGTGCTGCGCCAGTGAAAAGTTATCAAATAAATATGTAATTCCATACATTTATGTCTTTGTTTTAACCCCCCCAGAAATGTTGCAGTTATATCCAGTAGAAACTGGAGCTCCATGCCTGAGAACCCCACCATGATGATGCCATCAGGTGATTTCTTACCACTAACTTGAGCCTCGAACGAAGCGGCACTACCCTCTAGTGCCACGACGCTCTGCAGCGGCTGAGTAAACGTCGGCGCTTGTGTTGACATCACGGTCGGCACCCTGAGGAAGACAACACAGAACCATCAAAGACAAGATGCTCCCCTCCAACCTGAAATTATTGTCTACAAGTCATAATTATCTACATATGGAACATGGAGAAGCTAATCTGGTATCATCAGATTTAATATTTACATTCTGACAGCAGCAGACACTTTTCTTTTAATGTCACAACTCACAATCATTTAAGCAGTCCATTAATTGAGCAATTATCGTAACGATTAATTGATTAATTAGATTTAAAAATGGTATACCACAAATGTCCTTTAACCACTTAAGATTTCCTCTTTCTATTACTGGAAATACATTAAAACATATTAGAAATACATTTAAAAAATGCAAATAAATAATTCAATTCCTTCTAATAAATAAGAAAATGAACATTTTATTGCCTACAGTGCAATAACATAAAACATACTTACAAAGATGTTTTTATCTTAAATGGCTTAATTACTGCTCTAAATATGTTGTTTTTTCACTTAACTCCCTTTCTTGGAGTCTGTGTACTCCAGTTGACAATTAACAGATTACTAAATTTGTTGACAATTATCTTTGATAATCGATTAATCATTTCAGCCCAACTTTCTTTCTAAGCTGAAATGCTTGAGTGTCCTAAGTTTTAGAAACATCAAGACACTAGTTATTAGTACAAGCAAAAGGAGGGAAATAAAGAGTTATAATGGTTTGAATTATATATTTAATAAATCTAGATCTGACCTAAAAGTTAATTAACCTTTGATTTTATGAAAACTTTACAAAGCAACAATATTCTGTGAGTTTCTGGTTGGATTGAGGTAAAACTGATATCCAGAGTTTGATGAAACAAGATTAAAAATCTTCTAAAGAAAGGATTTATTGTTATTCATTGGAAGGTTAAGCTGTTTGAAACTGAAGAAGACAAATCAGAATCACTTTATTGCCATTGCTGGTAAACAAGTTCCCAGGCAAGGAAATGGCATTAATTTAAAATAAATAGTAATATATGTAAAATAAAATATGATAGAATAAAAGAGCAGCTAGTGAGTTGTTCATAGTTATTAAATTTCTGAAAGCTACTCAGAGTGGGAGTTCAACTCAGAAGCTAACAGGTGAGATGTACGTATTAGCCAGTGAACATAAAACTTGCTACAGGAAACAGAAGTGCCCATAGTTCTCCACGAGGAGAACGAAGTGGAACATCCAAACACCAAACAGAAAGATCCCAACCAGGATTCAAACTGTCAACCATCAGCTGTGAGATGAAAGGTACCATCTAACTGAAATCTGACTGTGGGCTGGAAATAGGAAACAATCCTGATTTAACTGGAACACGAAAACCGCCACATGGCTGGAAAATAATGGATGGGCAGATGGTTATGTATATGGAGGATGGATGGATAAATGATTTAATGGACGGACGGAGGTTCAACACACTGACATCTCTTCAATAACTCAATGCTGTGATGCGATTGGGTTTTGTTTAGGCCAGACTGACTTGTTTTTTGAATTCTTGGTTCTGATTCTTCTAGTTCTGAAGGTTCCCATTTTACACACTTCCATTAATTTCTGAATGAGTGTTAAATTGTTCTGTTTGGACCTGGATGGTTCTGCTCATCCCTGAATGTTCCTGTTTGGACCCCAGCAGCTTCCGTCAGATTGTAATTACCATTTTTTGGCCCATTCTGGGTAAATTAACCCAGTCTAAATCTGATTGGACCAGTGCCTTTCTGTCTGGTTCTGATATATAGACATGACTTAATTTGTTCTTTTAAATCAATTTGACCCAATTGATCTTCAATTGGATATCAATACCTGCTCAAATTTTCAATTTAATGCTTCCCGATATGAGTTTAGTCTGATAATTTCAAGAATTCATTCATTTTCTGGTAATTTTGCTTAGTTTTAATATTTTATAATCGAAACCAGGTATTTTAATCCTTATGTGAGCTGCTTGTTTCCATCGTATTCTGTTGCTTTAGAAGACTAAGACAGAACAGAACCAACATAGGTGAACATTACCAGAAGTAGGACTGGTTCCTGCTGGCCTGAACACAGGAAGAATGTCTTGTTATAAGTTAAAAAAACCACAAAAAAAAAAACAGAAAAATGTTCAAAAATATCTGGTTTACTTTTAAGTTACTTTTGTCCTATTTCAAGTGTACTAATTATTTGACCTACAAACTAGACAAAAATTTGTTTTTGCCTTCTAATATAGCCATTTTACATGTTTAAACATCAAAAATAAATTTTTATTTGTTGTATAATACTTTATTTATGTTTTATGTAAAAACTCTGCCCCCCTGCAGGTCATAATCAGCAAATGAATGAGGAGTTTGCCACGATCAGATTTTAAAACATTATAAATATGCAAACATCCGGTTCTGAATGTTATGATCAATCAGAGTTTCGGCTGTCTGTAATTAAACCTGGGAAATTGTGAAGCCTTTCTCTTTTTAACTGTGACATTTGAAGTTGTTGTTGTGATGTGAGTGTATTTCCCTTAGTAAATCAGAACATCAAAAACAAGCCCTGAGTTTCAGCAGAAACAAAGCATCTCATCTCAAAGCAGCAAACTTCTGTTTGTTTCTGAACCCCGACGTGATCATCAGATTTTTATTTGAAAATAGAAAACTTAACATATTTCTTGGGCTTTGGAGTAAAATAAGCCTTTTTCTTTAAAATAAACCACATTTAGCAGATGAACACAGCCTAAAACCCAGAATCATCCACTTTACAGAATGAAACTACAAAGGTTTACAAACATCATGTGGACCAAAATTGACTGCAGTTTCACTAAAAAAAAAACCTACAAAATATTGCACAGGTCTAATTACCAGTGCAAATATCTTAATAGACAAGCCGCCTTACAAGTAACCATTTAGCAAGACAGAGGAGCTTGTTTTAAGTCTATAATCCTTGGATACTAGTTCCACTGGCAGATTATTTCACCTATAACATGGAAAAAATGTCTTGTTACATGTGAAATATTCTGCCAGTGGAACTAGAACTTTTTCATCAATATTAAATTATTGACTTAAAACAAGCTCCTATTTTGCCGAAAAGCAACTTTTAAGTTAGTTTTGTTTTATTTCAAGTGTACTAAAATGTTTTCACTAGGAACTACAATAAAAGCAGTTCCTAGTCGATTTGTGTTTTTTCCGTCCAAGGGCCACAATTGGTCCAAGAGCCATACTTTGGACACCCCAGAGGAAAACCTCTCAGACAGAAACTTTGTGGTTGGATCATCAAAAGAACTCCTGCAGCTGCTGCTTTCCAAAATAAGAGTCTCAGTGAGGTGTTGCTTCTGTCAATCAGATCATTCTGAACTGAGGGGGGGTTCAGGTGCTATAAATACCTCTTCCAGCCCCCAGGGTTGACTGACAGCCACCATGTGGGGCACATATCTGAGAGCTGATAGCCCTGCTGCTGATTCCCTTAAAAAGCCATCAGCCTCTGGGACGCTCAGCAGCTATTCTGGGCGGTCTGCATTACCTCCAGCAGCAAGTGGTAGAAACCTTCATGGCTTCCGAAAACCCAAAATCCATCCCAACAACTAAAACTCTGCCACTCACCTGTCAGCGCAAGGATGCCTGGGGGGCCCACGGCAGGGCGCGGTGCAGGAAATCTAAAATCTTTATCCAGAAACGGGTCAGAAAGTCCAGAAGAGCAGCTGAGCGGCACAGGAAGCCCTCAGAAAAAAACAAAACTACAGGCCGACGCCGTGTAGTTCTGTTTTTCCTCCTGACAGCAGTCCCTCCAGCCGAGGCGTCCGGGCCGGGAACGCTGACTCTGCTCAGGGCTGCCCACCGACCACGGGGGGCTTTATACGCCACTGACATCACGCAGGAAAAAGCCTCTGATTGGTTGGTGCCGCAGGGGATCCTGGGAGGGATGGACACTTTATACAAGTCATTGCAGCAGCTGCTGCTTGGAAATCAAGGGATCAGTTCAAGAGAAATCTGCTTCATTCAGATGAATCACGGATCTATGGAGGATTTATTTTGAATTCAGAAGATTCTCAGAATTCTGACTTTAATTTCAGAAGATTAGACCAAATTTTGAGATTAAAGTCAGAATTCTGAAGAATATATGAAGACTTTGCTCTGTCTTTGAAGAATGTGGATAAAATGTTGACTAGAATGTGCAAATAATGTTTTAATAACGTAACCTCCTCTTTAAGTTGTGATGCTTTTGTTTAGAAGGAACAATTTCTTGTTTGGCAGCGCAAAGACAAGTTAACAACAATCAAAAGGCAGAACATAAGTTGTAAAGGAGCTTATAAAATGTATCTTATTTCCAGCTTTTTTGAGAGACAAAATGTATGTTTATGATGTAAATAAGTATTTGCTTGTGATTTAAACTATGCATTTGTTTAATTCTATCTAAAAAAAAACTAATTTAATTTGTGAACCTTATTTCACAATAAGGTGGTTCACATTGTGTAGTGACAATATTAGTTGTAGTTTTACAACTAATACTACATATTAGTTGTAGTATGCTACGACTTGATTAAAATAATACCTTTGTTTATTTATCAACTATTTGCCTAACTATCTCCACTGCAATAGATGGTTAATAGAAAGGCCTAATAGAAAGGCCTTTCTATTAGACCTCAATAGAAAGGCCTATTAAAGGCCTTTCTGACAAACTAGAGAGAGATTTTTAGATCACAGTCTGTATGTCATTTTAAAATTGAATTTGTGTTTTTTTAATGAAGGCTGATATAAAACATTACCAAAACATACAAATAAGAAAATGGATCGGACAAAACTTACTGATTGTTGATCGGTTGCAAGTTTAACTAAATTTTGCTTTTAGCGTTTTGATCTTGAGCAGGCTAGCTTAACTGACTAAATCACCATGGTAATGTATGAGTTGCCTCTTTTGTGAAACCAGTTTGGGGCTTAATTAAACCGGGATTAAACTTTGTCCGCTTTGAAAGTTTATCCTCTGAGACACGAAAATACCGACTATTACTTAGAAAAAATATATAACAATACCTTATGAAGTTAGTTTGTGTTGGCGCGTGAGGGAGCGGCTGCTGGCGTACGTGCCGTGACGATGACCAGTAATGGTGTCGTTTTCCGGCACGTGAAGGTTGAGACCGCGAAGTGCTCCCCCTGCTGGTTAACAGGAGGATAGCAAAACAGGAGTCACAGCGTCACCAGAAAAAACAGAGATTAAGTCAGATATCCAAATAACAGAGGTGTCAAAAGTAATCACATTCTTTATTCAGTTATAGGTACAAATATTTGTATGAAAAAATACAATAAATATGTTAAAAAGACCTAGAACCTATGGAGTGTGAAGAGTTTTAATAAATCAATGTTATTATATAAGTTCATTGGGGCCTGCCATAGAAATGTATGGCAGGCACCTATTGTTCTTCTCCTCAAAATAACTATCACTCCCTTTTACCGTTAATGCGGCCCATACTGCTGTGTGCCCCCTCACAATAGATATCAAAACGTGCGATTCAATCCCATGACGGGAGCTATTACTTTTGTTGGCATTTCGAGTGACTGTGGTGACATAATTAACAAAAAACGAGCCAAATTTAAGTAAAAACAAAAGACTAACTGACACAAAACAGTGTCAGCTACACTCAAAATAGACAGAATTTTGTCTCTCCCTCTGAGCTGCTCTTTAGAACTACAGTGATGGCAAAATGTCAGAATTACAAACATAAACTCATTGCTATGAACTCACTGCATCTCTGAATAGTGCTGTTTGTTATTTCATATACGCATATCATCTAGTGGTGGTAAAAGCAACAAAAATCTAACATGTTCTGGACTTAAAATGGGGTAATGCACACATAGGCGAGTTTCTCTAACCTGAGATTGTGAACCTGTACTGGGCTTATTTTGTGCCTTCAAATAGTTTTAACAATGCTTCTGTAGAAGATTCATAACTTATAACTTATAACTCTGAAACAGTCTGTGTGCTACACTCAAGAGAGAGATTAATTTGATGCATCAAAGGGTGCTGTCATCACTGCTGATGTCATTGCTACTGTTGAAATTGAACAATCTAATAGTGCATTCACGCCAAACACGTTTTGAGAGTCAGGCGAGTCTGGTTTACATTCAAAGTTTATGTGGAGTGTTGGATGCGCTCGATGTTTCAAACCCTCTCCAAACAGTTCAAATCGCACTGCGCGAGACGCTCGAAGCGCCTCCACATAGACTGAATGCAAACCAGACGCGCCTGACGCTCAAAAACGCATTTAGTGTTAACACACCATTATAAGTCCAGTTTCACATTAGGTCAGTGCTTCTCAATTCTAGTCCTCAGGCCTCCTGCTCTGCATGTTTTTGATGTGTATCTATTTCAGAACAGCTGATCCAAATGATTTTATGACATTTTTACATAAAAACTGACTGGGTGTCTCACAAAGATAGAATTCTTTTTCCACCTCTCTGTCTCACACACACGCACACACACACACACACACACCCACGCACACACAAACACTGTAGTTCTAACGAAGAGCCACTGTGAGGAGACGACGAAGAGCCCCAGGCAAGAGGCGATGAGGAGATGATGGGAGGAGGGAACAAAGAGCTACCGGGACGAATGGAAGAATGGAATATCTGGTTGAGAAGGTAGAGGGTCTCTAGCCATGATGGCAAGAGTTGTCTGGCATTACCACTGTCTCCTGTTGCAGCTGCACCAACCCCAGGGAGGGGAGATCGGCAGACCAGCCCTCCAGCACCCACAGGAGTCGGATAGCGATCCGTGGAGTTCGGCCACAGTCTCCACTTAGTCCTTTATGGTTGATGTCAGTTCGTTGAAGCATGCAGTGTCCTGGATTTATCCATATATCCAGGTGAGGTCACTGGATATATTCACACCCAGGTACTTGTAGATGGAGACCACCTCTACAGCTGCTCTTCCGATGTACAGGGGCTTGCAAACAAAATGTGACATGCTTGCAAGTCAGAATGATGCACTTTATGCTCAGATCAAGTCTCTTCATGGAGAGCAAAAAAACACTGAGCTTAAACGCAAGGACGTGAGAGCTAAAGTGCATTCCCTGGAAGTGGCCTAACAGACTCTAAAACTAAGACTCCAGAAGTTTCAGATTACCTTGACAATGACAAGGTCACTGTCAAGGTGACAGTGACAAGGTCAGCTTGTCACTGTCAAGTGACCTTGACAGTGACCTTGTCACTGTCAAGGTCACTGTCAAGGTGACAGTGACAAGGTCACCTTGTCACTATCAAGTGACCTTGACGGTGACCTTGTCAAGGTCAAGGTAATCTGAAACTTCAGGGTCACTTCATAAAGAGGCAATCTGACGAGGAGAAGAGTCTTTCAGAGTAGATAGGGCATCTCCTGAGCCAGGTTGACAGAGACCGTAAAGAGAGTCAAGGACCAGTTCCAGCTCTCCAAAACTTCTGTAAGAGGGCAGGTACAGTTTTCCTGACAATGTACCGGACAGGAACACTCAGGTACTGGGTACCAGCCCGGCTTTTCTAATACATCTGGTAGTTCTGAAAAACTGGTCTCTTTTGTACAGAGCAAAAAAGGAGTTAGGGCATTTACTGAGACGGTACGAGAGAGACTGTAAAAAGATGGAGTCCTTTAGCCACCAAAACATGACTTTAAAGTCTGAAAATGCTCGGCTAAGGGATAGATTGTCTGAATAGGAGAAAGAGGAGCACCAGGAGATCGCAGCCCTGTCTTTCTGAAAACCTCCTGATCTGTGCACTGAAAACAGTCCTGGAGCACAGATGCTGCAAACCTAGGCCACACTGTTCCCATCTTCTTCGTTGGCTATATCCGTCTCATCATTGGAGGATATAATGGCGCCAGCAGAATGGAGATGTGGTCGGAGAGGTCACGATGAAGAGCTGTACACGCAGTTCAGAGTGTATTCTCTGCGTGTGGGAAAGGCGACGTGCAGGGCAGAGTGTCCGTCAGTTTGCCGTGGTTAAAGTCCTGTGCTAACACTCAAAAGTCCTCTGGGTCTTCATCTGCAGTGAATTAACGGTGTCATCCAGCTCCCTTCGACACCTCGCTGGATGTAAACAATGGTGACGAACGCTGCATTTGACGAGCACTGTCTCAGTCGCACTACGCCGAGACAGATAGTGCGGCTGACATTTCACTGTGACGAGTTCTATCGCCTCAGAGCAGCAGCTTCGAACCAGTCCACAGTTCCATCTTCATTCACCTCCCTGGGTTTTTCCTGGCCCATGAAAAACCATGGAGGTTTCCCTGACCCAGCTCTCCTCTTTCCTGTTTGAACAATCTTTCCCTTAACCGAGCATTTTCAGATGTTAAGGTCATGTTTTGGTGGTTAAGGTACTCCATCTGTTCACGGTCTCTGTCGACCTGGAGATACTCTATTTATATATGTGATACTCCAGGAGATACTCTATTTCCTCCGAAAGACTCTTCTCCTCGTCAAATCGCCTCTTTAGAACTGCTGTGTCATTGTCAAGGTCATCTGAAGCTCCTGGAGTCTTTGGTTTAGAGTATGTTGGAGCAGTTCCAGGGAACGCACTTCAGCTCTCACATCCTTGCATTTCAGCTCAGTATTTCTTTGCTCTGAACGAAGAGACTTGATCCGAGCATAAAGTGACTTCTGACTTGCAAGCATGTCACATTTTGCTTGCAAGCCCCTTTGACAGAAACTCCTGCCAGGTTTGGAGCACTCGATTGTTCTTCTGAGATCTTCCACCATCTGCTGGAGTTGTCTGTTTTCATTCTCCAAGTCCACTCTGGTCATATCTGGTGCACTTTCCTCCATCAGCAGCCTATTGTTAGGTCGTTAGGCATAGGTTCGTAGCAATTATTGCAAGCCATTCTTTAAACCAAATCAACTGTGTTGGTGCTTCTCCTCTTCAGTCAAAATGTAGAACTAA